CGCCCGCCCTCCCCAGGTGCCCAGGTGGGCCCTGAGGGTACAGAGTCTGCCGCCTGGAGCCGCCCCCTGGGGCCTTCCCGCCTCAGCTCTCTCCACTGGGCAGGGCGCCCCGTCCAGGCGCCCCAGGGCGGGCGCACTGTGCCTCCTACTTTTTCTGTCTCTGCCCGTCTTCCTCCTCCCCCAGCCGTAACCAGGTGCCTGCCTGGCACTTAGGATGCTGCCCTTGAGTAATAGTTATGGAATTAAACGGAACTGAAAAGATTTCAAGGGTTTTGAGTAGCGATTCCCAACCTTTTTCATCTCATGGCACATATAAACTAATTACTAAAACTCTGCGACACACCAAAAAATTATTTTTTGCCGAACTGCCAAAAAAAAAGTAGGCATAATTTTGATTGATTTACAAAAAAAACACACCAAAAAACATAAGAGTAATTACCTTCCTACCCTATTTGCTCCAAAGTGACTTTTTAAAAAACCAGGTGCCTAGAAGAGTATATAGGGGTTTCTGGCACCAAGAATTAACCAATCAGATGCAACCTAATTATGTGACATGACCAATAAGATGTGCTCTATTGTATGATCTATATACTAGTATTTATGGTTCAAGACTCCACAGCTATTGTGTTGGCTGTTGTCATTTCTTTACTTGACAATCTAAGGGAAAAGGACTCAGTGCCCCCTGACTAAACAGTTTTTTGCATGTTTTAAAAATTCTTATGGCACACCGGCTGAAAATCACTGATCTAGAGTCATCCCTGAGTTCAATTGAAATGGGATGCGAGAGTGGATGGGGTGGCACCAGGCTAGGAACTTATCCTGGCCTCTGGTGGGGGCAAAGGAAAGCTCCCATTAGCAAAGTCACAGGTTTAAAGAAGCAGGCACAGTCTGGGGGGGGGGGGGGGCCTCTGCCCCCCAAATGCATCCCTCCCCACAGGGCTAGAGCTGAAGATGTAATCCTTAGGTGCAAAATTTAAGGGAGTGCCAAGGAACTCCATACTTTAAATAAATAACATTTTAATGCAAAAATTTTTTTAAATTAATGCAAAAATTCATGTTGAAGATAACATCAAATTTGTAAATGATGACTGAATCAATAGCAGACCATATGGGAGCCTGAAACAGTAGGAAACCTCAGTAATACCGATCTGTCTAGTAATCCTTAGGACACAGTCATTGGGCTCATTATTTTCACTGCCCGCTGAAGCACACTGTTAGATGGCTCACCAGGAAGGGAAAGGCCCCAAATGCCTAAAAGGGAAGAGAAGGCTCTAGATTGGGAGAAGGTGCCTCAAGCTGTGGAAAACCAGCTGTGCCTGTCAAAACCAGCCTGGAGCTGACACCTAAACCATGTGAGCCTTCTGCAGACTGACTTTGGATCTCGCAGCCAGTCCCAAAACAGTGGTGCTTCCACTGGGTTTCTGCATGGAGATTGGCTCAGCGCCTTCTGAAGCCGGGCCTGTGGTGGGTGCTAGGTTTTATTTCATGCACAGCAACCCATGAGGTGAGTTTATTATCCCGTTCTTTCCAACCAAGGTAACTGAAATTTGGAGCAGGTAAATAACTTGCCCAAGGCCCCCAGTTTTAACTCCAGGGCAGCGTGAATGCACTTGCTCCTCAGTTCCTGAGCAGGGAAGAGGAAGAAAGAATACTCCAGCTCTGAAACATTGTGAGCTGAACCCTAGGACATGAGAAGTCGCAATGGGAAATTCTTATCTCCTTTGGCTCTAACTAAGCTGTTATTCTCCTTCTTCCTCCCAGATGCCAGGGGAGCAGGCAGTTGGCATACAGGTTGTTTCAGTCTTACCCAAACACAACCTTCTGAGACTCAGAAGGGGTGGCATTTTCTTTGGCAAGAAGAGTTCCCGAGTGAGTTCACAGAAAGATTGGTTCTCTCTGCTGGCGGTGTGCCTCCGGAAGGAGCGGAAGGAGCGAGGCATCTGCATACTTAGAACCTGCTTTCCGTCCTAGGACAGCCCCTGGGCCAGCCCACCCTACGTGACTCACTGACCCCAGGGCCTGAGTCATCCCCCACCTCCCCTGGCTGCGGTGGCTGAGCCATCAGCCCACCAGGGAACCACCCTGACATAAGCCCAACTCCACCACAGGGAAGAGGATGGAGACAGAGGAAGCAGACAGAAAGTTATGAACAGCTGACACCGGGAAGGGAGCAGGGAAGGGAAGGAAGCTCAGGACCCAGGAACTTGTCTGCTCTCCCCTCCCCTCCTCTCCTCTCCTCTCCTCCCCTCCCCTCCCCTCCCCTCTCGTTTCCTCTCCTCTCCTCTCCTCTCGTTTCCTCTCCTCTCCTCTTCTCTTCTTTTTTACTTAAGCAGACTAGGAAGCATATACAAAATCCCCCCCCTCCCTCTCCCTCTCAGGGTCAGACACTGGTGGGGAAGGGACCCTGACTCTCTCACAAGGGCCAGATAATGTCTAGAACGTGTGAACTGCAGAAAGCAATAAGGCCAGTTTTGGGGTGTAGGGGATTCGCAATCTGATGTTACCAGTAAATTCCACCATCATTAGAGAGCCACTCCTTTAACTATAGACAAGAATCTCAGTGGAGAAGAGGAAATCATGGAGTCCTATTCACGAGTACCTGGACTCAGTATGTTTATCAGAATCACAGAATCAGAATCTAACCCTTATATCAAATCAAGGCACTTCATGTTATACACGAGCACCCCTCCACCCAAACCCAGATAAATAAAATGGCTTACAGTCCCGCAGCCAGTTAATGGCAAAGCCAGGATAGTATAAATGGTATAGGCTTGAAGTGTAAGTGCCGGAAGGCCTGCTGGGGGCAATGCAGGGGCCCTCCCCCTGCCCCCAGCAGTGGCCCGCATCGGAGCAGGGCTGCAGTGAGGGGGGACTGCAGGCCAGGAGAGCTCTGTCTACAAAATTGGAAAAGACTTTAAACAATGTGTTGTTTTTCCCAACAGTAAAATAATCTGTGCTCATTACAGAAAATGCCTAAAAGGATAAAACCAAATCCCATCACCTAGACCAGCGATTTTCAACCCTTTTCATCTCCTGGCACACATAAACTAATTACTAAAATTCTGTGGCACATCGAAAAATGTATCATATTTTTTGCCGCTATAACAAAAGAAAATAGGCATAATTTTGATTCATTCATGCCGGACGGCTATTGTTGAATTGGTTGTTGTCATTTTTTTTTTATTTGACAATCTAAGGGAAAAGAGGTCAGTGCCCCTGACTAAATAGTCAGGCATTGCATGTGTTTAACATTCTTGTGGGATATAAAACTGAAACTGGTGAACACAAACAGCTGTGCGGTGGTTCCCAGAGGGAAGGGGGTGAGGGTCCTAATATAAAGTGGCAGGAGAAGATTGGGCTTTGGGTGGTGGGCACACGGTGCAATATACAGAACTTGTAACATAGAAACCCACACCTGAAACCTATATGTCCATGTTGACCAATCTCGCCCCAATAAACTTAATTTAAAAAAACACTGGGGGAAAAAAGGAAGCATTGAAATTTCATGCAATACATTTTTAAAAATTTAAGCACATAAATAAATAAATACACACATAAAAAAAATAAAAATTCTTGCATCACACCGTTTGAAAATTGCTGACCTAGACAGAAGGTATTTTTACATGCAGATAATATTTTATTAAATTTCATTTAAAAAGTCTGAGCCCTGCCTTTTCCATTTAGAATAGCTAACAAGCACCTTAACAAATCATTAAAAACAACTCAAAAATAGAACTTTAATGGCTGTATAATATTTCATCATGCCTGTATCCTAATGTCTTTAATCACTTCCGTTTAGGTTGAATTTCCTGTTTTACTGTATAAATGCTACTATGATAAATATCTCTGTGCATAAGCATTTTGCCACATCTTTATTTCATGCAAATATTTGGAGCATGAT